TTGACTGAATATGGAGCCTCTTCGTGAGTCCTAACTAATCAGTCTTTGGGAAGAAGGCAAGAAGACGCAATTTTTCTGAGAGGCGCTCTTGCTGAGGTGATCCCAAGGCGTGCTGAGAAGCTTCGCATGGTTTCCGCACATGTGAAGTAGACAGGCAGCGTGTGACCCTGTCCAACCGTCACACCTGAGAGCAGAGCTCCACTTGCTTATTGGAACTTGCTTGGGGTTCCAGGCATCGATGCCTTCTCTTGACATCAGGTACCGGTAGAGATGTTCAGCTGTAGTGCTGGTGAGGCTTTCACAAAGCCGATTGAAGTACGGTTGATCTCCGATTCTAGAGTCGGAGGCTTCGAAGCAAGCGTAACGGCGATCAGTTGCCTCCTTCTTAATTGGCCAGGCCTCGTTTGTATTAAACCAGTAGTTAGCAAGATCGGGTACTTGAAGAGGATCGATCCCTTTCTTTTCAAGAATCGTTGTGTCTTGGGTGATCAGGCTTTTCAAACGGTTATTACTCTTGTATGCCCCACCCCAACTGCTCACTTCGTCGAAGCATACCAATAGAAGGTTCGCAGCTATTCCATTGAACTTGCCAATCACTTTTTCCATATCATTGCAGTAAAGATAGTATCGAGATCCGATGACATGTTTGCCCACAAAATCTGTCACAATCGATTTGCCTGCGCCTTGGTCCGAACGAAACACGAGAGCAGTACCTATCTTTTTGAACGGCTTTTGAACAAGATGGGCCAACCAATTTAGAATGTACTCTGCCACAGCAGGATCGTTGTCGGCCAATACCTCCTTGATGTGCTTCAAGAGGAGAGCAATCTGTTTCATGTCAACAGGTTGATTCGCTGCGTAAGTGTAGGGGAACCCGTAGAACAGGTTGTAGTTGTCAGGTGAAACCGCACGAAAGTTCGTTTCGAAGACTACCTTGCTGAGCGTCCTTCTCGCTGATGACTTGCACCACAATTTTCCAAGATTTCCAATCTTTAGGCTGTCCAAATTGAATGATTCTGACCGTTCGAGGAACTCAGCTCTTGTTCGAAGGATGCTGTCATTTGGTACCCATGCATTGCCTCTTTCAACGAAAAGGGTCTCGATAAAGAGCACTTTTGAGCTGCCGTCTAGAACGCAGATGTAGTGGTTCATTGTGTCGATAGCAGTCTGTGTGAGTTGTTGGCACATGCTTTGATATTGCACTTTGTCGACATTGCTTTTGCTGCTTGATATGATTCTCTCCGCTTCCTCAATAGGGCGCAGATCAAAACGTGCTTTGGAAATCAAAAGCGAAGGCCAATGGTGCAGCCCAAGAAGTACTCTTGGTCGGGCTTTGCATACTGTTGACAGGCAGCGGTATTCCATGCAGATCCCGTTGCAGATGATGCTGAAACTGTTGCTCGTATGTTCCTCTCCGTAACGACAGATCCTACA